AGCCGAGAGCCGCCGGGAGCAGCCCGGAGGAGGCGACGGCCGCTGCCCCGCCGCGGGTCCGAGCGGGTCCCGAGCCGCCGCCGCGGCGGGCTGTGTGTGTGCGAGTGTGCCGCGCTCTCGCCCCATGCCTGGCACATGCGTAAAAGCGAGTTGCGCCCAAAGTCCCAGCCATACCCTCCTTAGCAAATAATAACAAACCCAAACCGTCAGATCTTACCTGAAACATTGAAGCACAAAGTCTCTCTCCAAGTCCCCTTTTCCTTTTCCTCTCCCCCCTTTTCCGATTTCTCTCCCAGCGATCTGCTCGGCTCGCCACACCAGAGAGAAATGCAATAGCTTGGCTAAGGTAGACAGAACAAAATACAGAGAAGAGTTGCTCCGGGGCTTTGAAACCCCTCAAGGCAAGGATCAGGATACAATTAGCTCATGCCTCTACCTCCAGTCTAAATCAATCTCCAAAATAAAACTTAAATCAAATTAACTGATCACAGGGCACACAATTGATCTCCTTCAAAAAGAAAGCTCTACATATACGTATAGAGAAATATACATATAGGAAATTTTTTTCCAGATTTTTTTTTTGGTGGAAAAACAGTCTCATTCCAGCCTCCAACTTGCTTTTTACCCTCCTCGTGCACAGAAAAGCTGATTTTAATCGTTGTGATTAGTTTTGATGTAACGTTTCCGCGGGCGATTTCTGCAAATGGATGGAGTGTTTCTTTGCCAAAAGAGGGAAAAGCAGCAGATGATGATAATTATAAGGATTGTTGGTTGTTTCTTTTTATTTGTATTTAGGGCTCTCTCTTCACTTTCTCAAGTTGACCTGACATTGCTGTGTTATTAAGGTCGCACAACTTGTTGATGAGGATCACCTCCATGTCTGATCAAAGGATAGGTGATAATTTGGCAACAGAGCAGCACTTTTTGGTTCCTTTGGCGACATAGCAGTTCCAAATGACGTGGATAAAAATAAGCACAGGCAGTCCGCTTTGCCCCAATCAGGTCTGAATCAGTGCCTGGGGGTGATACACAAACTCATTTCAAATGTTCAACCATGCAGAATTGTAAAAAGATTGAAGGAGTTACACCACAGATTTTTTTTTAATGGCAAAATTAAAAGTAAACAAAACCTGCATTAGGTGTAGCCAAGGATCTGCCATTTAGGTTTATCGGAGCACCCTCTGAGCACGCCTTGCCTCCTCCCTCTTTCAGCTTGCTTCCACCTGGTATCTTTTCTAAGGGGCTTGTATAATTCTGTTATTTGACAGAAGTGCAAGACAGAGCTAAAGAGACTGTAATATAAACACGTTTCCCCAGATTGCCACTCGGATTCTGAGCTCCCTTGCTTCTTCCCTCTCCAGATCCCTGTTCAAGATGATCGGCCTGAGCCAGTCATTACCTTAATTCTTTTTAGGTAGGATGGGATATTGGGTTGTAAACTCGGGGGTCACCTCCCATTAGCGTTGTATCTGTGCAGGATACTTTTTGAAAGGGTGTGTTTTTGAGCACTTCACAGTTCATTAATTCAAAGACTTAGCTGACATTTCTTATGAGAAAAAAAAAAAAAACAAGGATACTTAAAACACGCACACACACATACACACACACACACACTCCAAATAGAACCAGGCAGGCACATCCTGCAAGTACCTGCCACTGGCAGCATTTCACAGGAAGTATTTTTTAACCATCATTTACCTTTAAGGTAAGCAACTGCAGTAATAGGAGCAGAGAAGGAAAGGGCCAACCTTTTAAAAAAATACAGCCAATCAGATAAATGCCATAATGATATGAGAGATTAATGTCATAATGAGAATCAGAAGCGTTGGAAGATTGTTTTTGTTTTGTTTTGTTTTAAGGTTACAAGTTCATGACATAAGTATCTGGTTTGAGAATAACAGTTCCCAAAAGAAGAAAAAATGGATTATTAAAAAATTACATTACTGTTTTTACTCCTCTCTCCTTTGTGTGTAAGGTAGACTCATTCTCTGCTCTGCAATGAAAATTTTAAAGTTGATGTCTCCACTGTGGTGTAGTAGGCTAAGCCTCTGCCTGAAGTGCCAGCATCCCACATGGGCGCCGGTTTGATTCTCCACTGCTCCTCTTCTGAGCCATCTCTCTACTTTGGCCTGGGAAAGCATTGGAAAATGGCCCAAGTCCTTGGTCCCCTGCACCCACATGGGAGACCCAGAGGAAGCTCCTGACTCCTGGCTTTGGATCAGCTCAGCTCTGGCTGTTGTGACCATTTGGGGAGTGAACCTGGGGATGGAAGACCTTTCTTTCTGTCTCTCCTTCTCTCTCTCTCTCTGTAACTGTACCTCTCAAATAAATTTAAAAATAAAATTAACCAAAATTTTAAAGCCCACAAAATCCTAAACTCAGTTGAATAAAAATGTCGCTATCTGCAAAGAGCCCTAACTGTTCATTGTAGAGGAGGAAGTGAGAAGAAAACGGACCATGGAAGAAACTTGCAGAGTGGTTGGTGTGATGACTGAATATGTGACAGGTGTGACACAAAGTGACGTTTAATGAAAACACCCTGTGTTACCTGGAGAACTGCATGGCATCATCCTACGAGAATGCAGCTGGAAAAGTCTTTTGCAGGCATCTGATGCTTTCCTATCACCTCGCAGGTAAGGAAACTAAGGCAGCTTGCCCACGGTTGCTAGCGACCAGGCCACAGGAGGCAGGAGGAGAAGAAATGAGTGGGTGGGTTCCTTTGAAAGCACTCACCTTAGGAAGTTCTGCTTGGTATTCTAAATGATGCTGACATGGTTGAGAATATACTTTCTGGGATTTCCTTTCTGGGATTGCCCTTAATGCCTGTAGCACCATCCTTTAAATATATTTGAAGACAATAAATCTTTGTTCATTGATTGTTTAGCTTTTGGAAATAACAGCAACCATCGGGTCTGGGGAATAGCTGGATGATGAAGATAGCTGATGCTATTTAGAATCAAAACAGAAAATATGCCTAAAAAGAGCAAGACCAGTTAACTTCTTATTCGTCCCTAAAAGGAATAAAGACAATGCTCAACATATTTTAAGCAATGGAAAAGGAATCATTGCTGGGACAGGGCTTTGCTTTCCAAGATAACTGCTCTGAAAGAAACACTATTTATTTGAATGAGTGAAGTTCTGAGATGTTCATTTTTCAGATCATTGTAATACTGTAGAATGACATCAGTTACAAAATGATACAATTTTTTAAAGGCTATAGGTCATCGGCATTTTACAGTGATCACAGTCTGCTGGGTTGGTCGCTGAATGTGTGGTCATCTCAGTAGCACACAGACTACAGGTAAGTTCTTGTTTTGTTTTGGGGTTCTTAATTCTCCTGCATCTTGCAGGGATTGCAAAGCTGAAACTATAGGCTAAGGAATAAGAGTCAAAGTTTACCGTTTAGAATGTAGTTGATGGAAAGTATAAAATGTTAATTAAAATTTATAAAACATTTTGAAAACTTATTTTGTTCTGTGTAGTACAAAGAAAAGAGTAAACCTTCAAACCAAATTCACGGAATAGCATGTGAAAACCCTAGGTCCGTATCTTACCAAGTATGAAATACGAGCTTGAACTTTAATTAGCCCTGGAAATCGTGAGATGATGTGAAAGTACCAGCTCCTTGCTAATGGCCTGGGAAAGCCGCAGAAGATCGACCAAGTGCTTGGGGCCCTGCATCCATGTGGGAGACACTGGTGAAAGTCCTGGCTCCTGGCTTTGGCCTGGCTTAGTGCTGGCTGTTTCAGCAATCAGAGTTAATTAGCGGGTGGAAGATCTCTCTTTCTGTGTCTCCCTTGCTCTCTGTAACTGACTTTCAAAATAAATAAATATATTTTAATGAATAAATAAAAATCCTTCCAACCTCCTTCTAGAATAAATAATTGAAGTAAGACCAGCAGCTGAACAACCAATAGCAACACCAAAGACAATGGCAATGAAATTGTCAGCAATCAGAAAGAAACCAGGGACATCTGTTTCATCTTCCAGGGTCTCACTCTCAAATTAAGCTCCACCAGTTTGCAAGGCATAAAGACGACAAGAGGATCTGGTGAGTTGCAATCAGGAGCTGTACTGGAGAAGTTCAGCCATCTGACCGTTGTGGAAGAGCAAACAAGATGTTCTCTCAGGGGACCAGCTTCTAATGTGAACGTGGGACAGCTCATTTGGTCGCATCGCAGTCATCGAACCCTCAAATCACGAGCTCTCATGGAGCATCACGGCTTTGTCCACGGTAGCCCTGCGGTACATTCTGGGTGGTGATTTGACAAGATATGGACATTAGTGGCTGAGATGAAATGTGAAATTGAAGCGCCTTCCACTGAAGCAGCCAGACACCCAGATCAAATTTTACAGTTCCATTGTGCTTTCCGTCAGGAAAAGGAGAGAGGCCTCAGTGCTGGGGTTCAACCTGGACGCGCGTGGGTATCCCCAGCCATGGCAAAGCTGCCACACTTTCCCCCTGCATGGTCACTAAAGGACTATATTTCTGTCATTGTTCCAGCAAGACCCACCCATGACTACCACAAATAATGTTGTTTTATTTATTTTTGAGTCAGTTTTATGGGAGGAAAAATCACCTGTTTTTTATCAGCCATCCTGAAACTCCCTATAATGCTATGGAATGTGCACATTTTCCTGGAGTTGAATAGAGGCATTAATGAGCTCAAACAGAATGGGTTTGTGACTCCTGGAGTTTGGCCCCAGCCAGCACCTGTTTATAATTAGCCTCTGGAAAGCTTGCTGGTTTTCTACATTGATGTCAATATGAAGAGTTTGTGGCATCGCACTTTCTGAGAAGGTCAGTGGTTTAATAGTTGCAGATCTATTGACAGAAATCATTTTCAGCTCACCCCTATTTTTCAAAAAAAGCACAGAGCAAGGTCTTGTGTTAAGACTCTTAAACCAGTTTTGTCATTTATCAAACTTTCTTTGTCATTCATTGTCCAAAGTGAACACTAATTATAATCTCACATTATAAAGTAACACAGATCTATGAATAAATAAAACATGGCAATATTCAATAGAAAAAAATATTCATCCACAAGGAAGCAGATCTATGAAGAAAGTAGTGAAGCATTGCTATTCGTTATTGGCATTGAAAAGTCTTTGCTGGGGGTAGGCATCTGGTACAGCAGTTAAGACCAGTGTGGGGCATGTCCTGTATCAGAATGTCTGGGTTTTCGTTCTGACCTTGCTTCTGATTTCAGCTTCCTGTTAATAAACACCGTGCAGGGCAGGGGTAATGGTTTAGGTGCTTGGTTCCCTGCCACCCACATCAGAGACCTGGATTGAGTTTCGGGCCCTGGGCTTTGGCCTGACCCATCTCCAGCTGTTGCAGGCATTTGGGGAGTGAACCAGCAGATGAAAGTTTCTCTGTCTCTGTCTCTGTCTCTCTCTTTCCTTCTTCCTGCTGCCTTCCAAAAAAATGAACTTGTCTGCTGGATAGTCACTTTCCATATTTTCAATAAATAATCACAAGTAGGGTTTATCTCTCTGAGTCTGACAGGGGCTGATGTGGCCATCACTTGAGACATCAGCATTCCGTTTTGGAGTGCTGGTCTGAGTCCCAGCTGCTACACCTCTGATCCAGCTTCCTGCTAATGCACCTGGGAAGACAATAGATGATGGCCCAATTGCTTGGGCCCTTGACATCCATGTGGGAGACCCGGGTGGAGTTCCTGGCTCCTGGCTTCTGCCTGGCCTGTTCCTGTATGTTGCAGCCCTTTGGGGAGTGAACCAGGAAATATGAGATCTCTCCCTCCCTCCCTGCCCCCCTCCCTCCCTCCCCCACCCTGTACAACACTGTCACTCTGCCTTTCAAATAAATAAATATTTGAATTACAGTTGTCATTCTTCCTTCTTAACTTATCGAGTGATCTGGTCTTTAATTTATTTAGCCTAAAATATGAATGAGAACTCCTATCTTGAAGTCTTTTGTAAATCTGACACTATGTAGAAAATATTTAGACTTGTGCCTAGCACACAGTAGGTTCTCAATGAATGCTAGTGATAAGTATCATTATGGTTTATAGTATGGCTGAATGAATAACATGATATCTCACAAAGTGCTCCTGTTTAACTTACTAGCACAGAAACTGGCATTGTGGCATAGTGGGTAAAGCTGCCTCCTGCAATGCAGGCAATCTGTATGGGCGCCGGTTCGAGTCCCAGCTGCTCCACTTCCAATCTAGCTCCCTGCTAATGTGCCTTGGAGAGAAGTAGAGAATGGTACAAGTGCTTGGGCCACTGCACCCACATGGGAGACCCAGATGAAGCTCCTGGCTCCTGGCGTCAACCTGGTCCAGCCCTGGCCATTGTAGGAATTTGGGGAGTGAACCAGCTGATGGAAGATTCTCTCTCTGTCTCTCCCTCCCCTCCCTATCTCTATAACTCTGCCTTTCAAAGAAATAATGTCTTTTTTTTTTTTTAAGTTACTAGCTCAGAAGGGGATTTATGCAAAGGGAGGCTTTAACTTAGTGAAACCTCCGTAGCTAATATTTTTTACATATAACAAAATCTCATAATTATTTCTTCTAGAAATTGCAAGGATGCCCCATTTTTTCAAACAGTGAGTGAAATAAGATTTTTTCCATGGTACATTGTAACTATAAAAAATTTTATGTTTGTGATGCTGCTTGCTTACCGGGAAACATACTTTCTGTTCCTCTGAGGATTCTTGACTTTGACAAGACTGCCTCACACATGTAAAACATTTAATTAAACATTTTGTATAATTGCTTGTGTAAGAAGTGGGACTTGACTAGAATTCTGACATGAACCTCTTTCTTCATAATTATTTGCTTTTTTGCCTATAAGGAATTACAAAATTGGTACCAGCAAGCACTTTAAAAACAAAATTAAAAAAAAAAAGAAATGCAGTTTTGAGAACAGGAAGAAATAAACTTCAGAGCTGAAATCAATCTCTAATATTCCAGTCAATCAGTCAGTCAATCATATTGAACCACACTCTATATAAATTTCTAAGCTTTAGACATTATCATTTTCATTTTGTCCCATGTAACCTTTCAGGCTGGCTACCCACTTTAAAGTTGCGCAGTGGCTCTTTGAAGAAATATTTTAATAAGATAAACATTTCACTAGGTATTTTGTACTACTGTGCATTCCAGCTCCTCACAGTAAGGCAGGCGGCATGGAAAGGTACTTCTATTTGCAGGGTAATGCATCTCATGCACAGCCCATCCGGTTCAGAACCACTTAGCTTTGCTTCGCTGTTCCACTGCCTGAATCAAGGCTGTTCATGAGAATCCCCATAATACAATTGCGGCACCTCCAGGGCACCATATACATTTATGTAAGTTATCTCTTCGTGCATCCTTTGGGTGTCAGAACCTCTCAGCTTTGCTAACCATAAAAAACCTGCCTTAAGCATATGACTAACTTTAAAACCCTAATGATATGGATGTCATATTTCAATTTTTAAAAAACCTTCCTGTGCTCCACCCCTGAAAAGCCCTATAAAACTTATCCAATAGAATCATACCATGGTTAAAAACATGAAATTTAAGAACAAGAATCATGAATGTGCTCTTTTTTTTTTAAGAAGCCCAAGATAAAAAAAAATCTGGCCAAAAGAGTATAATTAAAAAACATGTTGGTCTCCAAAGTGTGGGAGGAGTCACTGTAAACAAATCGCTACTGCAATGAAGAAAGTGCTGTGTACTTTTTCCAAGTTATCAGGAGGGAAGACAATTTCCAGGGTCTTAATGAGTATACGCCTGATTAGTTAAAATGGGCACAGGGTTGATAGGACTATTCAACATGGGTGTTTACATGGTTTCACCATTATTCCTAATAATAACATTAATAATAACAATAGTGATAAAAACAATTATGACTGATGGTAGGGAACTTCCTTTGTGTAAAGACCATCTGGTTATGAGAGTCAGACATGAAATTCTAAAATGAAATCCTCAATATGTCCCTCTGAGGTTTCTTTGGAGAGAATGGATATCTTAATTTTTAGAAAAGAAAAAAATATCTGTCTGTTGTACCCAACACTCAGCAGCTCCTGCTGAGAAAACACAGCCGCGTGTCTATTTTGCTTCTAATTGTTGATGTCCCCAAACAAAAGAAAGACTCTGTGAAAATGCTTCCAAGATAATGATAGTCACTCATCAGCCTTTTGTTTCATTTTTGCTTTTGAAGATTTTGATAGGTAAAGCATTAGTATAATCCTATTTTTGGTTTGCATCAAAGGCAAAATTTAAAACTTCTCTCTCTTTTTTTTTTTTTTTAAAGATTCACTTATTTATTTGAAATGCAGAATTACAGAGAGGCAGAGGCAGAGAGTGAGAAAGCCTTCCATCCTCTGGTTCACTCCCCAGATGGCCACAACGAATGAACCAACCCAAAACCAGGAGTCAGGAACTTCTTCCGGGTCTCCCATGCAGATGCAGGGGCTCAAGCTCCTAGGCCATCCTCCACTGCTCTCCCAAGAGCATTAGCAGGGAGCTGGATTGGAGCAGCAGGGACTAGAACTGGCACCCATATGGGATGTTGGCACTGCAGGAGGTGGCTTTAACTGCTGTGCCACAGCCCTGGCCCCTAAAACTTCTCTTTGTGAAGTAAAGAGAAACAACAAAGGAAAAACATTGAACCCAGCACCTAGACAATGGTAGGGTTTAAATGCACCAAGTCATTAATTCTTTGTTTAGTTGACAGAGTGGACAGTGAGAGAGAGAGAGAGAGACAGAGAGAAAGGTCTTCCTTTGCCATTGGTTCACCCTCCAATGGCCGCCGTGGCCAGCGCGCTGTGGCTGGCACACCACACTGATCTGAAGCCAGGAGCCAGGTGCTTCTCCTGGTCTCACATGTGGGTGCAGGGCCCAAGCACTTGGGCCACAGCAGAGAGCTGGACAGGAAGAGAAGCAACTGGGACAGAATCTGGCGCCCCGACCGGAACTAGAACCCTGTGTGCTGGCGCTGCAGGTGGAGGATTAGTCTAGTGATCCACGGCGCCAGCTGACAATGGTTAGTATTAACAGGTATCTGTTTAGTTTTGTTAATTATATCTAGAGTCTAGCAATCTCTAATTTTTAGCTGCTCTGGCCATATCAACATATGGTGGAAACAAAAGGACAAATGTTATGTGATACTATTTCTGTAGTGTTTTTAGAATAGCTGCATTAATAGAGAAGGAAAGTAGAACAGAGGTTACCTGGGTTGGGGAAGAAGGAATGTGGAGTTCTTTAATGGGCATAGAGTTTCCATTCCTGAAAATGGAAAAGGTGTGGAGTGGGGGTGGTGGTGATGGCTGCTCAACATGGATGTCCTTAATGCCACTGAGCTGAGCACTTAAAAAGGGTTGAAATGACACATTTTATATCTCTTGCCACAATAAAAATGCATGAACTGTACAAACATTGAACTCTAGAAACAAAAATAGGTGAGAGGGAGAAAGAACAATATAGCAAAAAACAAAAGCCGGTGCCGTGGCTCACTAGGCTAATCCTCCACCTGCGGCGCCGGCACACGGGGTTCTAGTCCCGGTTGGGGTGCCAAATTCTGTCCCGGTTGCTCCTCTTCCAGTCCGGCTCTCTGCTGTGGCCTGGGAAGTACAGTGGAGGATGGCCCAAGCGCTTGGGCCCTGCACCCCATGGGAGACCAGGAGAAGTACCTGGCTCCTGCCATCGGATCAGCGCAGTGCGCCGGCTGCAGCACGCCGGCTGCGGCAGCCATTGGAGGGTGAACCAATGGCGCAAAGGAAGACCTTTCTCTCTCTCTCTCTCACTGTCCACTCTGTCAAAAAAAAAAAAAAAAAAAAAAAAAAAAAGAAAAAAGAAAAAAACAAGGCATTCAGTTTTCTGATTCCCTTCTTAATTGGAGCTCCTCCGTAATAGTAGGCAAATGAGTTAGACTTGGTCACAGTGGCTTCTCCCAATGCAGGGAGAAAACCCAGAGTTCAGTGTTGGCTGCTTCATCACCCCGAAGACCCACTTCCAGTGAGGGCTTGGACAGAACCAATCACCGTTCTGTTTTCGGTGCAGCTAAACTGCTCCATTCATTGCGGATTTTCTCACTGAGGAATGAAAACTTTAGTCCAAGCCACATCCCTGGAAGTCGCTGAATGGTGTGTTCAGATATGTGGAATTATGTAGACAAAACAGCCTGGTGTTTGACAATATTTAGACATGCCCTGTATTTTTGTCATGGGGCAGATGTAAGTTTGTACCCAGAAATACAAAATTTGTAACAGTGTCCAGGTTAGTGGAATAAGGGACTAACTTGGCTACTCAGAATCATGAAACAAAAACCTATGCTATGACTTTTTCATTTGCCTTGGGGTTTGGATTGAGTTGGAAATAGCCATACCATTCATTTTTTTGCTTTATTCTTGCAGTCATCTAAGGATGCCTAGATCTAGCCACGCAGTATAAATGCCTGCTTCCTTTGGTGCCCTTTTCTTTCTTGGAATTGGAGATGTTTTTGTTTTTAGTTTTGGGAACAATAGTAAGAGAAACCTCTAGATTTTAAAGAGTAAGAACTCATCCTTCTCCTGTTCCTTCATTTCCTTTGAAAATTTAAATTTATTCAACCTAAATACTGACCTCCATCTTATTATTTCTCATGGTTTCTTTGTAAGGAAGGTAGGTGCAGATGGCAGCGTGGCCTGTCATAACCACATTTAGAAGCGTGATTTTCTATACGCAGCTCATCTGGGCTCCCTCAGAAACATCTTTAAGAAAGGGAAGAATCCTGAAGGCAAGGAGAAGTCTTGTCCTTATACTTGATCTAGAAAGGATTAAACCCATGCAAGAAA